AGTTAAAACAAGTTTGTATTGTTTCAAAGTTATTGTTCAATGWTTTTTTAATAAAATAAAATCAGACTTCTTAAAGACTGCTGATTAGCCAGAAAACTTGGTGCAATCTTAATATATAAGGAATCTTAAACACTCTAAGTTGGATTTCTGACCTTTTTATTATATTGGTTCCAGGTGATGTTTTGATGTGAAACTAAAAAAATAAAATAAAATAATATATAACAATGTTTTTCCAAGTACAAATTGAATACACTAATAACTAAATGTGCAGCACCGATTTCCTTAATTTTGGGAGATCAGAGATTGGCCTATACTTAGATAAGATCAGTAGAATAGAACAGCTTCTCATCTACCTCCACAAAGGTCTGAAAATCAGCCGCTGTCCCCTTTTGCTCTGTGAACACTGACAAATGTCCAGGTTTGTATTGCTTCAAGGGTATTGTTCAATGCTTTACAATAAAATAAGATTGGAACACTGAAGGTGTATTGTGACTTTATAACACCTGACAGTGTCAGTTATTAAAAAAATTGATATCGGTCAAAATCGGAATCGGCAGGTTGGAATTTTTGGTAACACTTATAATAACTACACCTAATTTAGCCTTAATTAATCATTAATAAAGGGTTACTTAAACTTGAAAAGGCTTTGCTGCCTGAGCATCCTGGTTAGCGCAAAGCCTCATGGRAAATTTCATAAATGGATAAAATAYGAGTATTTTGGGTCTTATAAAGTTTGCAAATCTACATGTGTGCTTAAATCYAMTCTAAACATATCCTGTAGTTACTTGTATTATTATGTTTAATCTTAATATAATATAATGGTAAAGTCAAAACCATGAGTCAGAACCATAAGTGAAAACTATCTGCACTACAGCTCCTTAGTGATTGGATGTATAGATGTAATGACTGTAAGTGGAAATGCAGTCTTTCTACATCAGAGGGCAAAAGTACAAGCTGGTAACTAACTGGTGACTAAAACTTAAATAAACATAAATAGTCTTCACTTTAGGGTTCACAAAAAGACTTAACTAACTACTAACACCTGCCTTAATTACTGATTACTGACTTTACCTAATTTCCCTCTGGGATCAATAAAGTATTTTTGAATTGTATTGAATTGATTTGAATGTACTGCAGGGTGTGTAGATAGTCGAGTCAAACATCCTCTAACCAATAATACATGTCTAACACATGGTGTGAAAGTATGTTTACATGAACATTTGCATTTATATACAGAGTATATCTAGAATAGTTAACTCATGAGTTATTAAGCATGAGTAAACAATGAGTATGTTGGTTTTAGCAGTAATTAGCCTTTATGGGTAAAAGATTAATAAATGTGTTAATTCATTGCTTATTAAGTCTGAATCATCCTTAATTACCGTAATGATGTTTTCAAGTTTAAGTAACCCTTTATTAATGATTAATTAAGGCTAAATAAGGTGTAGTTATTATAAAGTGTTACAGAATTTTTAAAGATCAGTGATCGGCCAGAAAACTGCAATCGGTGCACCCCTACTAATAACTCTTTGAACAACCTAAGTTTGGAGAAATATTTAGTCAACCAACTAGTTTGTTCCAAGAGGGGTATTTGAGTTAAAAAAAAAACCACAACCTGGAGTAAAATGAGCTCACAATCCAAGAAAAACAAAAGGTCATCTTGAGATTGCAAAAAAAGAAGGCAAATCTACCAGAAAGCAGGAACTTTCAAGGTAGCAAATTTAACTGTTGAGTGCATTTAAGGGTAACAGACTGGTGAGCAACAGAAAGGCCTGATTGGTCATAGAAGGCACATCTCATAGAATACTGTATATCTCATGTTTATTTTATTTTTTTATTTRCAACATAACACTAAGWAAACAGTATTATTTCTAATTATCATCATCGTGTCAGCAAGTAACACATGCTAACACTTGACAAAAAGTAATCATCAAACAGCACTAAAAGTAAACATATCTAGTTTAAAGGCTGTGACTCTCACAGTGCATTTCGTGGAGTGTTCTGAGTGGGGAAAATATTAAATATAGCTGTATATTCCACTGGTGCTGGTGTTACAAGACGAAGCGCTCCATTTCTCTGATTTGTGCTCGTTAGCGAAGCTGTGCCTCTCCCATCTTATGCAAGACTTTTTCCAAGAAGCACACTTCTCATTACTGAAAAGGCCAAGTTGACATGGAGCCTGAGCTGCAGGAACATTGTGGAGCAGCAGCAGACATACTTTTACAGACTTCTCCTACATCAAAGACAGTCAGTAGGAAAAGGCAGAGAGATAGGACAGTGAGGGGTGATCTGGCAGAAGATACTGTACTTAAAAGGATGTAAACTGACAAAATGAGGTACTAATTTTTGTCTTGTACCCTGTTGTCTTGTAGGTGGTAGAAATGGCAAAATGTTCAGAGAAAGTGTAAAAACAAATACATAAACATAAAACGATCTAAGCTTCACAACTTGATGGGTTTAAGCAGAAAGTCCACAGCATGGGATCAAGCCTCAAACTCTTTTTGTCCTTTAAATCCRTTTAGGAAGCAGAACTTATACCCCCACATACACACACATAAACACACTCACATTCAAATCCAACAATATTTCATCAAAAAGACGCCACAAACATAGGAAGTCACAGRAACACACCTACATCAGCCTAAGTCACGCCGCTCTCCGTAAATCTACAGCCCCACAAATAAAAACACGCTCTTGACTCAARCATCCTCTCTTATCCCAACAAATACACAAGCTCCCTCACATGCRTCAGCACATGAACCTGTGCTGACAGCTGACACGATGACAGCGTGACACAGATGAGAGACACRCTACGTAGGGGGTAAGATGACTCAACCAAGGTGTCGTGAGCAGAATATTCCACACACTGCTTTTATTGTTGATGTTTTCTTTTTCAAATTCAACATTTTTATTGAAATCTTATAGTCTTCCAAAAGATAAACGCAACGTTTGCTCAGAATATGTCAACTTGTAGTTGTAAATCTGTCAAAACTAGCTGACGCTTCTTCATTCTGAGCAAGAGGTGGGTAATGAAAAGCCTAATCTTTGTCCAATTACAGCATCAGTGGCTGGGATGTCCGTCTCGCCTTCGTAATTACATTTTTCTCCACGCTTGCCCACAATTAAGTGCTTCATCTACTTAAAATCCTGACAACATCTGTGATTRGAACAATCACCAAAAAATGCTTGAAAAGCTAGTTTTTGTGTTTTAGAGTTTCCCTCTTGATCAAGCGTTTTAGAAGACATTCTTTTGCACACTGGTATCTGAAGGAATGCTCAATAGTATGTCAACATTTGGCATTTATTGAGCAAGGACATGYTGATTACTTAGTTTGTATTTTTGGTCCTTTTTTGAACAAGCATCAATAGATAATTTGGAGTTTTGTCAGATCTGGTGTGAAACGTTAGTATAAGCAAGCGTGTTTTGAAGCAGACAGCTTAACTAGCCTGAGTTTGTACAGAAAGCAGTTAGTGGAAGCTAATGCTGCTTCATGAGAATTAAGCTTTAAATCAGACTCCAGGACATTTGTTTTGTAGCCTCTCACAGCTGTTCACTGTCAGTGTTGCAGCTTTAATATTCTTCCTTTAAAAAGGGAAAATGCAATGTTAAAATTTACATTATCACATTACTCAAACTGTTATGTAATATTTAAGGCTTAACTTGTTGGATAGCAAAAATCAGCTTGTTTTGGTCCCAGTTCTGACTAATCAATTCAATTCAAACATACTTTAGTGATCCTAGAAGCAAATTCGGTTCAACACAGTCTGAATTAGCTCCCTGATACTCTAAAATGAATGCGCTGTCCATTGTTTACTGCAGATGAGACACTACTCATACAAGCATCTGAAACAGCTCCACACAAATATCCCTTTTATGAGAATGCCACTTACAGTATCTTGTCCAACTCTCTGAAAAACAAAGAGACAAAATTGTTTCATTAAAAGCTCCCAATTCACACCTTAAGCACTCAATTTGTGCCTTAAGTGACCCCAAAATAATCACTCAATTATTTTTCAAACTAATAACTGATTTTTTTAAGTATAAAAAAAAATCAACACTTTAGAAGAGGATTTTGTGAAACCCCGAGATTAGCTTCACTCACTGTTCCACAGAGTTCCTCAGGGAGCCAGAAATAACCAACAGATTAGTAAACACGTAAATAATCCGGCTGAGAAAGTAGTTACCATGTGAAGCTGACGTGATTGGTTCCTGCCAATAGAATCCACTTGAACACCTCTTTTGAAAACGACATACGTAAGACTATTGGTTTTCAATAAACACGTGATGTCAGTGCAAACAAGTCAACTATAGACAGGCAAGACAGTCTATACTTAACAGTAAGAAGAACCTACAATATATGAATATCTTGTGCTGAATGCTAAGAACCAACCAAAATCAGATGCTGGACCCAATCCAATAATACTATTGTTATTTTACATTACTGTGGAGACACCTACACCTACACACATGTATCCAATTGCCCAATTAAAATGCACAATCATAAAAAACTGTGAACAATCTACAGCCACACAGGGATCCACTTGCACACCGATGCTGCACACACAGTTTTCAGTTTCAGAATCAAGTGGTCTGAGTGTGCAACTTCCTGTTAAACAGCCTCGTTCAGCTTTACATCTACTGCCTCCTTCTCATCTAAAAAAAGGTTTTGATAGCAGGTTTAAAATGCACCACAACTGCCCCCCTCAATTAATCCAAGGGTCAAACATGTTCAAATGTCTTTACGTAGATTATTTGAGGTGAACTAATGTGATTAGTAGAGCTAATAATGTGGCATCCTTATTTAAAGTTTATGGCTGGGTGCTCATGTCACAGCTAAAATCTCCTGATTTCTTCTTTACAGTGACCTATTTTAATGAAACATCTAGAGAGTGATCTATTTATGTGTAACGATATGCATAAATCAGTCAAATGTGCAGCATGTTTAAATCACAGAAGGCAGTTAGGATTTAAAAGATTGGCGTGAAACAAGGATCCTTACCTCTCCTAAATGAGGATTAGGATTGAATCCACACAGGTTGCACACTTCCTTCTTGCACTCTGTGCACAAGCTGTAGTTAGGTGTGCCTGCTGAGCCGACGTTCAGTTCCAGGTTACAGAGAGGACAGGTCTTCTTGACCGCTGGGACTGGAGGTTGAGCCAACTCAGCTGCTGGGGGCTTCTCTGCCTGCTCCACAGAACTGGATCTGGGGGCTTTCTTGGAGGCAGCAGGTGGGGTGTCAGGAACAAAGTCTGAATCTGGGGGGGAGCCGGGAGCAGAGAATGGAGAGTCGGGTGGTGAACCGGGGCCAGAATCTGGAGGAGAACCTGGTCCGGAGTCTGGTGACGCAGGAGGAGACCCCGGTGCCTTGACCTCTTCCCCAGAGACGAGATTCGTAGCCGAGCTCAGAATGGAGCCGAAGCTGAACATTTGAGACGAAGCGGCAGGAGCTTTAGCCGACTCTGCCAACCCACCCAAACCTCCGAACAACTTCCCAGCCACCGACTCCTCTTGTTTTGGAGCAGCCTGTGTTTGGGGCTTCGATGACTCCATCAGCCCACCAAAACCACTGAACAGTTTCCCCGTGACAGACTCGGCAGCTTGAGCAGTAGCAGCAGAAGGCTTAGCCGCATCTGTGAAGCCTCCTAAACTGATACCTCCTAAGCCCCCGAAGAAGCTAGACTCCTGCTTGGCTTTAGCCGGCGACTGCTGGGGACTAGACTTCTGCTGAATAGGGCGACCTGTTTTGGGATCAATTTTGGGGGATCCTGCCACTGATGAGCCTGGAGAAAGAGGTCCTGGAGACATAGGACCTGGGGATTTTTGCCTTGGCGTTGTCGGTGGTGTTAACCCTTGGTCGGCGGTGCTCTGCTGCTTTATCAGCAGCTTCTCGGGCTTGCCAGACGCCTGTCTCTGAGGCGAGGGGGGAGCTGAGCCTTGCGTGGGCTTTGACAGGCCAGGGGGATCCATCCCTCCCATTGCACGCTGCATCTGACAGTTCAAACACAGCCACTCTTTACCCTGCCAAAGAAACAGAGCATATTGAATGCTCAAATATCATTTGTCATGATCGTATAATCTCTATGCTAAAGAAATGGAATGTTGTAGAAAATGTAAATGAAAATATGTAATGATTTGTACTTATTATTCCTAAAATTGAACAATTTCTTACTTTAAACAGTTGATGTGTTTACTAGGTTCCATTGTGAACAGAGATACGTAAATTATTGAAGTTTTAACAAGTGTACACAATATTCCAGCTTTGTCAGAACTGGGGCTGTATATAAACCAGTAATCACAACAGATTAAAGCTATAAACATACTTACTACTAATTCAAAGACAATCACTACATTTTTTTATCCATGCTGGTGTAATTACAGTATACGTACTGTAAATGTTGATAATAAATTATGCTGTCCTTGTTTGTTTTCATCACACAACACACCTGTTCCTTACAAAGCCTGTCAACATGGAGCTTTTTGTTTTGTGTTTGAACATCGCTGTGGTTTCCACTGTGTGCAAGGCATGGTGCTGAAAACCCCTCATTGTTTACAATTTGATCTATATCTAGTTAAAAGCAACATATGTGTGTGTGGTTTTGAGCAGAATACTAATCATTGCTTTATATTAGGTATTAACAATATAATGGAATATTTATTTAAATAAATTGATTCCTAAGGGACAAGCAGTTATTATTCTGCAGTGTTTAATTGTGACCCACCAGCATTTACAGTTCATGTGTGACAGAGTGTCCTCACATGCTGGCACAGCATCTTCCTGTGGCCATGATATGAGTCACCTTGATCAACATTGCCCGGGTCCATATGGTCCCTCCGTTTCAGAAATCATAGCGCTGCTCCTCTGAGATGCACCCCCTCTGCCAGGCTCAGGGAATAGCAATATGTTGTTACCAGGCTCGTCTTTGATTCAGCTGGAAGCTATTGTTTTTTCTTTTCTTTTTTTTTACTCCGAAGGTTTATTTTTATCTGTGCATTTCCAGTTTGGATTTTTAGGATCYTAATTATTCAGTGTCATGAATATTGCAATCTTATATTTGAAATGTTCATACTCAACATGTTAATTTAGTGCAAATATTCAGATATTTTATAGAAACATGTGATAAATGATACATCTCATATATGTTGATATTGATAAAGATTTTTGGATATGTATTTGTAGGAAATAAAAGAAAGAACACACAAAGCACAACAGAAAATACAGTAGTTCTTGTCTTACCGCTGAGTCCGGGGGGCTGAACCCACACAGGCTGCAGACTTGGTTCTTACACTCAGTACAGTTGTTGTAATTTGGTGGGTCCTTAGATCCAGTGTTCAGCTGGGTGGTCTTACACAATGGGCAGAGTCCACCTGCTGGTTTACCCRCKCCTTGTTGACCAGGAGGACCAGCAACCTTTCCAGRCTGCCCAGAATGAGACCCTGGGCCTTGTTGTCCTTTGGATGCAGGTTGTGCAGGTCCACCCTGACCTGGTTTGGGTGCTTGTTGCCCGGCTGGTCCCTGACTTTGCCTAGGGGCCTGCCCAGGAGGTCCTTGACTGGGAGGACCTTGATCTGATCTGGGCCCCTGCCCTTGCTTGGGASCAGGAGGTCCTTGTCCTGGAGGTGCTTGACCTGATTTAGACCCCTGGCTTTGCCTGGGTCCCTGACCAGGAGGTCCTTGACCTGATTTGGGCCCTTGACCAGGTGGGCCCTGACCTTGTCTAGATCCCTGACTAGGGGGTCCTTGTCCTGGTTTTGGTCCCTGCCCAGGAGGGCCCTGACTTTGTTTCTGTGGTCCTTTCTGACCAGGTCCCTGCTGAGGGCCTTTCCCTGGAGGTTTCCCTCCCTGTTTGGGTTCAGGTTTTGCTGATGAGTCTCCCTCCTCCTCATCCCCAAACAGCCCAAACTTCGGGATGTTGACGGCGTCGCCCATGGATGATATGGAGGAAGTCATCGCGCTCAGGGGATTGGCCCCGCTGAGGAAGCCGGAGCCAAACATGCCCGAGGACTTGGTCTCCGGCCCTTTGGGCTCCTGCCGGAATCTGGATTCAAAGAGGCTGAGAGACGAGGGGCTGCGACCCGGCGTGGGTTTGCCAGGCGGACCCTGGTTGAAGGCGTCAACAGTTCTGCTTTTACTCAAACCTGCCGGGCCCCTGGAGGCCCCTGCCTGCTGGTAATGTTGCTGAGCATCAGATTCTGACGGTCTGGGAAAAAAGACAGAAAATAGTCTTTGTTATGTCCGTATGGGTTTTATTTGGCACCAGATTATAATCTCACTGGCCAAGTCCACACTAAACTGCTCCAAAGTAAAACCAAACACCTAAACTGTGCATCACAATTTAACAGTGGGCATGATCTGAAATCTGCTTCTGCTCTAAATATCTGAATCTGTTAAACAGAAAAATGAACATCTGGTAAGGTTGAAAAKCAGCCCGGGGCCAACACAGATGCCTTTATGTAAATTTTATTTATTCATTTTTTCCTTTTTCCTTTCAAAAGGTGCAATCCTGACAAGAAACAGTAATTTGTTTGTCACTTCTTGTTCTGCTGAATCACTCAAACTCACCATGAGAGCAAAAGACAATTCTTTTTATTCGGAATTAAACTATAGGATGTAAAAAAAAAAAAAACATTACAGCATCAAAATTGTATTCGAATCAAACTCATTTGTTGTATTTTACTAAATTTCTACAATTTGGTGTGGTAGTAGCTGAGAGTCAATCCCAACACATACCCTAAACTCTAACAGACAGTTAATCGTTAGCATCACCTCTGTTTGTTACAAAGCTCAAGAGGGGACATGAGGGGACTTTTTTTTGCTTTTGCGTTTCCATGCAATACCTTTGCATTACCTCACAAAACTTTTTTTTTCCATTCTCACACAAAAGTTTGTTTTATATGGCCTGAATTAACTCAGACTTTTATTTTTGATATATACGGTTACCAAAACAGGATGTGTTGCAACAAGTTCGGGAACTTGACAGTGATAGTTTGTGGCTGCACAGAGTTTAGATACATGCCTATTAAATATCTTCATGCACGTGTCTGTGACACATTTAATTCAAAGCTGAATTAAAGTAGTGTTATGGTGAGCTTGTGAATTTGTTATTAAACCAGCAGGCACAACGGTAATAAACAGCTTTTGCGAGGGAACGCAAAAGAAAAAAATCCCCCCCGTGTCCCCTCGCAGGCTCCATAGTTTGTCATGAACCACTGAACAGACTTTAATGAAACTCTCAAAAAAGTAAATATGAAAAGGACATCTACTTTGTTTAACTTTTGGACTCAATCCAATTCAAGATGTCTAACATCCCTAATCAAAATTAACACAAAAATGGCTAGGACTCAAACAATACTATAAATAATGAGTCTAAAGTTAGTGTGGTAGTAGCTGAAAGTCATGCCTAACACATACACAGCTTTTGCGACATTAGTGTGATCGCACATATGTCGTTTTCGCAGCTCGACCAAAACTCCATCATTTTTCCATAAGATCTGTTGAAAACCCTGGCATGAACGGCTAATACGAATTTCTCCAAGGAATGTCAGGCCTTTTAACAAACTAATCCCATCACCTTTCCACACTGAATATTCACAAAGCTTCAAATASAAACAAGGCCATAGCGTTCTGTCGTACAGGCTCATCACATCAGCGAGCACAAAATGGATAGCTGGCAGCCTTGGGCTAAAGCTGACAGAAACAGGACTACTGGTGAGTGACGTGGAGCGTAGATGGAGTGAGAAACGCTCGGCTGCATGTCAGGTCTAGAGCGAGAAGCTCCAAGCCCAACCTACACAAATGGACGCTGGGAGAGATGATAATGGACTGGCTGGACTTGTTTGTTATTGTGTGATGATGTGTGTAGATACAGCACACAGATGCATTGCTGCTGTTTCAATGTCCCTGATTAAATTACATTCTCGGGCAATAAAGTTTAATGAATATAGCATCTGATTTATTTTTTTTATGGTGAGCGTGAGTAATACATGGCTGGAAGGGGGGGATAGCAGCCTAACCAACAGAATGGTGTAACGCCTTTGCAGCGAGTTTCAGCACCACGGACAGCGACAGGGCTCATGATGCCTCAACTGGGAGAAAATTGGATTAAAAAAAAAAAACACCCAGATCACAAAAGGAGGGAAGATTTGTTGAGATAACATAAACGCCTCTGTTCTATTTTTAGTCACATTAATATTGATGCCCCCCTTCCCCCCCTCTCTTCTACAGCTCAGATATAAATAACAATTCTTCCCCACGGTTGGAGCCAATTAGCTGGAAGGCACAGCTTTTATGTGATGGTGTGAGGTTAAAATAATAATCTGGAGATTTTAAGAGGCCGCATCCCCTCTCTCACAACCAATAAAATCGCGGTTTATGATAATTAAACAGCGCTGGGGTTAGCTGCCCACAATAAAAGGGGCGTTAAGGAAATAATAACGGGGATACGTTTGTTTAGATCGATGCTAAGACGTCGCCGAAATGGAGGAAAAACCACTGAGCACGACAGATTTTCTTACCCAGCAGGCATTTCGACAGTTTCTCACAAATAGGACTTGGTGGAGGTGTGTCTCTTATCTAAGGTTGCTCTGTGGTTTCACACTGATCCAATCTGATGAGAACAGCACGGAAGCTGCAGCCTGATTCAGACGTTTTTAGACTTTCTTTTTTATTATTATTATTTGACCAATTCTTAGCTCAGCAGATGGTAATAGTGAGCTCTAAGGATGGGATTAATGGTGGTTTGTAAGGACTGAAAATGGGCGTGAACGCGCTCCATCCAAACGATGCTGCACACACATTACCAACACACATCCACTCCCCCCACCCCCCTCATGCAAGGTTAGCGGCGGGTTCTGAATAAAGGAGCTTTTTTCCTGCCTTCGTGCTGGAGCTCCGGGCTGCCTGCCCTGCGCCCTTGACACCGCCGCGGACAGCCGCCTCCTCTCCTCCTCGCTCAGCTCGCTCAGGTTCACCGGGGTCCCGTCGGAGACCCGCACGAAGCCGCCCTTCCCGTCAGGTGCCAGCCCCTCCGGGAGCCCGGACGGCGGCCCGAGCTCGCCCCCCTCCAGGCTCGCCTCGTTCCCCATGGCCGATCCCTCCCGTCCCCGCGTTCGAGCTGTCGGCTGGTTATCGGAGCGCCTCGCAGACGGCGACTCTTCGCATGTCGACGCGTTTTTAAGGTGGATTTTTATCAGATCTGTGCTTGGTTTCCAATCTTGAGGAGTCCCTCCATTTCTATCTTTTCTCGTTGTTTTTCTGTGCCTCGCATCTCTGCAGCTGTACACCACAGTTACCACAGTTTTCCWTCAGGGAGGAGGTGGGGGGGTCTTCGTTTTACTACCGCTTACAGACACAAAAATCATTTCCGGGACAGTAATACAAAATAAAAGGCACATCTTGTTCTCTTTTTTTAAATAAATGCATATGTCATGCGAACTAAACTGTGTAAAAGCCAAGCTCTAAGTAAAAAAATAAAAATAAAAATAAAAACACCCTGAATGTAACGTTCAGGGAAAAATTAACCCATCATTCGTAGCCCAATAGAAAACGGGGAGCTACTATTAAATTGCATTTCTCTCAATTTGCTTCAAATTTCTTAGGTTATTTTGATGCTTTAAAAAACGTTTAGCAAATATTTTATGTTTTAGCCACATCTGCGAAAATATAAAACGAATTTCAGCTTTTTCCCAGGTGACACGTTTTGCTCGATTAGTAGCCTCATTAACATAAACAATAAGCTAATTCATTAAGCTGCACCTTACCTAAATTAGTCCATGTTTCTTGCGTTACTCCAACACAAAAACACCGTTTTAACAAACATTTATACTGAAATAATTAAGGAGCTTCCGCTTTTTTCCAGGTAACTCTGATTAGCTTAACGCAGATTCGGCTTCCTGCTGCCCACTGCGCATGCGCAGCCCCTGACAGTCCATCCCAAGACATCAGCAGAGGAAAATAAGCATTTAAAGGCACATCTATGTCTATAAAGTATCTCTAAAGACTAAAACGTCCAGAATGACATTGATACTATAACGACGCACTTTCAGACATTAGTTGGGTTTTTGTTTCAGTGTGTGGTGTTAAATTAGATAAAAAAGAAGAAGGCCATAGGCATAAATGTTGCGGGTCAAGGATTTTGAGGCCCAGGACAGGGGTCAAAGTGGGCCGTTCAACCTTTTTGTTGTAAGTTTCCTTGAGAAATAACAAAATCTGAGCAGCGTGACTCCAAAATGTTTTAGTCTAATTTTAGAGAGGCTGTCGTGCAATGTTTTAAAACAAATAAAACATCTGCAAAGGTCTAGGGATGACTCACAGTCTGAATAATACCTACTGTTTTTTTAAGTTTGCATATTTTATTTGTCCCTTATCTGTCCACTCAGATATTTTATTATTTGAATGTTGTCAGAAGTGCGTGGCAGGAAATTCTGATTTCAGTCACTGCAGCCAGATAAGTTATAATGAATTCTTTATCTCTTCCTCTTATGYGAACTGATGATTATCTCAAAGAGCAAAGCATGATCAAATGACTTTATTGTAAAAGCTGCATGATTTAAAAAAAAAATCATTAAACAAGCAAGACAAAAACTGTTTCTCACCAGCCTACAGCAGATCACACTCACTGTATATTTAGCTCTGCAGTGTTCTGAGCACATGCAGAAGCAGCCACCAGATCCAGAAACAAGGATATTAAAACACGTCGCCTCAGCGATGCGTCAAGAGGACGTGTTGTGGTCTGACAGCATGTGCTCATTTGTTGCGTCGTCCGTGGGGCTCTGGGGCAGATGTGTCCTTGCCCGACTACAGCCCTGAGCACCTGAAGCTGGCGAATAAGAGCAAGTGACACCACGGATCATCACTGAAACCACRTTTTAGATGGCAGCTAGAAGCAGGACGTCTTGCATCGTCTGCTTTGTGTCTCTGATTCAATCTTACATTTATTTATTGTCAAAACCTTAAATAAGATGAGCTCACTGAAGATGGTAACTTTTTTGTCGTTGAGCTGTAGAAAGATAAGTTGCTCACTACTTAGCCCTCCATCTGTTTTCTGCTCATTTCTAATCAATATTTCCATCCAAGTCTCATCTCTTTGACCTTCTGTGCAAAGATATGGTTCATTTTGTACAGTCTCCTCCTCTTCTCCTCAGAGTGTGGGCAGAGGGTGAGTTTTGGTCGTCAGTGATAAACGATGGCGTTATGATTGTTCTTCCTACTCACTGTTGACGCTCGGTGATTGTTTTTTTTTTCTTCTGCTGTGCGACACAAGCGGCCTAAATAGGTTCTTATTTTTCTCTGTGTGCGTTAATGTGCACACCCTCATATTTCATTTTTCTGCCGTATTCAGTCGTGCAAAGCAAGCAAAGGACAGGAGTGTCAAATAAACACAGATGTGAAAATAATCACTGCTTAAGGCAGGAACAAACCCCAGCAGTTCATGCAAGCCTTACACTTCTGTTATGAAATGCAAAGACAATGYTTTATTTCTCTGAAATATTAATTCGTTAATTTTTTTCTGATCCGTGCATTGTATAGTTGTAAACATTTAGTTTACAGTTTAGTTATAAATTCAGATATTTCAGTCCACCGTATTATAACTAAACTTTGTGTACCTCAATTTACATTTGTTAAAATGAAACTTTTGAGAAGTGTAAAGGATAACCATCCAGTAAGAACCAACGATGAAAATGTTCTCCTTTCAGAGTGAAGCAGTTTATCAGTGTGCATTGCCAATGTAATGCACACTATTGTGATTCGTTTCCCTTCCAAGTCATCTCAACTTTGCCATGCTTCTCCTCCTGCATACTTTGTCCTAGAGCTGCCATTGTAATTTATAGCCGTAAAGATCCTGTGCCAAATGATATCTATGTCTTTTGGTGCCTTTAAAACTTATAGTTTATGAAATATTAATGTTTAATGAATTATAATGGCAGTCAATGGAGACTTGTATTGGTCCAATACTGCCCCATGATGTACTCAAGTTGGTACTGCACCATATTTTAATATTTCAACTCAGTAGTTCAGTGTTTACTGTACTAATATGATTGCATTTTGATGTTTTACTATAATATTGTCTTAATACTGCTCGATTGTTGTAATATTATGCATTTTTGTGTCAATAATTGTATTGGCAATGTGGCCTCTTTCTGCACAAATACAAACCAACCCCTGCCACCACCTTCTGCCACAGCTCCATTGGTCTAATGGTCTATATCATGGACTTACATGTGGTAGATAAGGGTTCAAAACCCAGCTAATGCAACTTCAACAAAAAAATCTCTTCAAATTTCATATTGTCACACAATTACCTTAATTACAAACACCTGCTGACGTGACAGGCACAAGCTGGTATACAAAACACATTTGAACTTGGTCAAAGTTCATTCGGCAAGTCCAATGCTKCAGGCAAATCCATGCTGCAATGACATGCTACATGGCAATGCACACTTGTTTTTACATCGTAAAAACCCATGTCTAGTTTAACTTGTGGTTTGTGTAATGTAAGGTGTAACTATAGCTTCCCGAGACTAATGTTGAATTTATAGTTGGACCAGCTTTCCTTCTAGACACTCACAGAGACTAAAGGACCTGTGTGAGGTGCAGCCTGGCTAAAGTAACCTGAGCTCGGTAACTAGATAACCTCGACTGGACTGTGGTCATTTAATTTTTAATACTCATTATGAGGCAAGAAGCTAACAAAGTTTCTTTTCCTCTAAAGACACTATCAGAACTGAAGTTTAAATAAAGAAAAATCACTTAAAAACACCAAAAACAGCCCTTGYAAATTGGTCACATGATAAAAAGTRGTCTTCYTTAARTAATGCCACAGAAAGAAGTGCATAYATGAGTTACATACCTGTTTTAGGGAGAGTTGTATCCTCAAATTCAGTGTTTGATGATTGGAGGGACTCCCAGGCGAAGGTGGACTTAAGTTTAATTTCTAGGCAGGTTGGGGCTGAGCTTCACTCATCCTTCATTAGCATCCTGGCGTCCTCCGAAATCCGCCCTCAGAGCCAATTCCTCCTGGCCAGTGAGACGCTGGGGACGAGAAGTATTTTTAAAGTCATGCAGAAGCTCCCTCGCTTCCCTCCTTACTATCCACACGGGTGGATGTGCCTGACTGCACCTGCTGAGTACACACACACACACACACACACACACACACACACACAC